GTGCCACAGCCCACCCCACATGTCACTGGAGTGGCTGGCCAGACCCCCGGCTGTTTGGAGAGAATGGGCAAGCTCTCTGTGGGTCTGCCGGACAATGGTTCTGCCATCTGGATGCACGACACGTGCCATATAGCGGGGCTGGGCTTCGGCATTTTCATTCGTCAGGAAAGACCTAGCTGGGCACCTCACACCCTTCGAGTGACCCCATTGGTCACTCGAAGCAAGTCTCTATGGCCCACTTATAGGGTTACAACTGCCTGGACTTGACCTAAGCCTCTGAAAATGCAGCTTGGAAGCAGGCCAGCACAGGTTGACACATACAGGAGCCCCGATCACACAGACAATAAAGGAATCAGGGAATCGACTCGACTGAGCCAGCGAAGCACTAGGTGCATTCGCTGGAAATTCTCCGGGGCCCACTATAGTGGCTGAACATCTCGTGATCTTTCACCGCGCCAGAATGCCAGTCTCTGCAGTGGCTGCGGGAATTCCCGAACAGCTCGTCTGTGCTGCGACACACACACGGCACATAAAGGTCAGACATGGACACGGGGTTCGTAAAGGAGCGCCGGTTGATGATATGGACTCCATTCCATTACATGTGCAATGACACAAAAGAACAGATATCGTTGTGTAAATATATGGAAATTCTGATGTACGGCTATTGAAATTTGAATGAATAACTCACAGGATATAAGATTTCAATTGGCACAAAAGCAAAAGGTTACAAATTTGAATCTTACAAGAGAACACTCTGTTGCATCACTCATCCAAGCGAAGAACAGAACTACCAGACAATCAAACTACTAAGCTATGTTGGGTTGTTTTAGGCGAAGAGCCTGTTAATAAATCTAATACCAGATATGATGTAGGCTACTCCACCACTGAGTAATTAGTTGCACCTGATTTTAAAAAAAAATTCACTTAAAGACCATTTAAAATTAAAATATAAATTAATTTCATAGCTTATTACTTGAAAAAAGTATCGTCGTGTGTACGCAAGATGATGTACTTGAAGCTCGTGCCCATTTGATTCAGTGGCAGACAATCTGACTATAAATTCGATATTACTCGTTCACTGCCAGCCAGCCAGCAGGGGGCGTTATCACGAGTGACAGATTTGTCCATTTCCTAAAGGAATTAAGCATTTTAAGTGAGCAGAGCAAGTGAAATACAGCACTCTACGTAAACAAATCATACCAGAGCACTGCTTTATGTGGCAGGAAATGTGACATTTTTCAAAGTGTACAGTGGCTCCTTTTGTGAACTATTATGGGAAAACGTAGATGAAGGCCTGCCAGCGAGCAGACACGTATCGCAGTATTCTGATCTTCGGAAAATAGCAGGATAAAATTATTACGGGTAAAACATGACATAAGCTTCTAAACATCAGTGTGCGATCGTTACAGATCGCGTTAGATGCCTGTGACGCAGCGACAGCTGGCCCGCGCGCAGCCCACATACTGAGATACGGCTGAAGAGTTTTACAGATTCGGCCTACCATTTCGAATAAACCATGTAAATAAGGAATTTCATGTGTATCCTTGTAATTAACATAATATATGAATATAATTAATAATGTGTCATTAACTGAAAAATGAATGAATTCTTTTTTTATCACGTAATTGCATGTAGGTAGGTAAGCCTATATGAAAAAATCATGCTGATCGTTGAATAAAAAGCCATAAACAGAAACACTGATCAATGTAAGCTCATGTAGTTAGACATAAGTAAAGGTTAATTATAAACAATAAACGATAAAAAATATACAAGTGTAACTACATTACATAGCCTACAAGTGAACTCCTAACCTTTTAACACCTACGGTTGACTTAATGAAATGCACTCAAAATATTAGTGATATTTTGTTCCAGAGTACAAAATTTCCTTTAATCAAACAAATACCGACGAGCTGCTTGACGCAGGCTTCTATAAACGGCTAAATTATGTAATTTCTGTGCACTATATCCTGTATTCAACCAGAGAGAAAAGCTTACATAAAGCTACGTATGGTTACTGAACTCAAAAAAGGTACTTATTTCTGCAAACTTATTAACTTTGTTGTCACATTCAGGCTAAAGGTGGTTTTGGGAGGATCTAATTTAAGGTATTAAAATAATACTCGCCTGTGCAGAAACGGCGGGGCCTGTAGAGCCTGCTGTAGTACTTTGTAATGCTTTTAGCACCGCTGCTAATGACACCTGCTTTTGAACCTTGAGGCAAAGTTATTATTCTTATGGGGTCATGCATTAATGCATGCCCTTCATTTACATACATGTCTCTCTGAGATGCCTGGCAAGTGCTGATTGATTCTGTATTCCAGTGAACGATCCTTCTCTGTTTTTCTTCCCTTAATACGTCACATATTCTACGTATAAATATAGCCCTACGTGTGTATGCATTTCTTCACTTGAGTTCTTTGAAAGTCGAGTATTTCAACGTATATATATTTAAATATTTGTTTAAAATAATTAGATCGCCTTGTGTTTATGCATCCAAGCCTTCCAAACTTATGGCCGACTAATCTGAAAAGTAAACCTAAGATTTGATTATTCATCGTTTGTTTCATATAGGAATTAACTAAAGCCAGATATCTATATTTAATATATATTGATATACACCATTAGTTCAAAAATGAAATCTTCCCAAAACTAAAATATTTAAACAGAAATTAACGTTGCCATGGGGTGAATTTAAGTAAATGTGTATAATTAAGAACTGCAAGACATATCGGTTTACGATCAATGTACCATAACAAAACATAACCTTGTTGAAAAACACGGACCTACATTTTTTATATAGCAGCACTTGATTTAGCAATGGGGGAGAGAGATCACTAATATGACATTATGTCCAAATATCACTCCTGACTAAAATCTGTCGCAAATACTTTAGATATGTAACTGCGTTCAATTCTCTTGTTTAAAATCCCGTAGATCACTAGTGTGTCTGCTGAAGGACACCTTGAGATACCTCTCATAAACGTGTTGTGAACTTTACACCGCTCATCAAACCTCCTTGAGGAACATAATGGTCAGAATACCCTGTATTTGTATGGCGCATACAAATCCTCGGGCTGACCTACTTCTTCGTCTCCTTCTCACTTCAGACACTCCGCTAAAATCCATAAATTAAGGAAATTAACTGATGGGGCCCGAGGCAACTTTGTAAGCTATTTAAATCTTTAAATTTACAACATCTTCTGCATTCTTCGTGTAATTGAACTAACTCGGGGGTTGGTACTTTAATGAGGGGAAAAATACAAGTCTTCCTCTGGTTTGTGCTCCCGAAGACAACAAATTTCAGCCCGAGGGAACAACGTCCCTGTTTCTGTTGTAAGGAGAAGGGAATCGGGGGACGTTCTCATGTCGCACCATGTTCGCCTTATACTAGTCTTCTTGTATCCGGCCAGTTTCTCTAAAATGCTGCTATAAAGTATATACTGTATTAATCACATTATATCTTTTTGGGTGGATGGCCTATAATTCTATATCCTTCTCCCGGTATGCATTTGCAAAAATAAATAAGTTCGTCTATGCACAATACAGCATGAATTTACATGGAATTGGAACCATGTCAAGGCTCTCTTAACATTAATTAACGTTGCCTTTGGTCTTGCCTTGATCTTGTGGTTTCTCCTGTGACCATTAATCTTTTCACACGCTGGTTGGCGCCAAACATCAAGAAAATACGCGGAGCATCGACTGTATTTGGGAATACTGTAATTAGAAGGGGCACAATGCAGCGTGCATTATTCAAATATATTTACACGCCAATAAACAAACAAATAAATAAATAAATAATCAGCTAACCTATGTGAGCACCTTTATGGGGAGGGGTGCATGATGACACCTTGTTCACAGGTTATATACTCTGCTTCCACATAGTACAGTGCATTCTTCTGTACAGAATTTTATATGCTTAACATATTCCTGTTTTGAGCATATAAATATAAATCAACCGTTTATTTCATTTTTGGCAAAATGAATATTTTTGAGGGGTTAAAGATCTAGTTGCTTAGCTTGCAGCCTGCTTCTTTCCCAGCCCGCTTGCATGGGAAATCTTCACGCCAGACATCTCCATCTAGCCGTGTGCTATAATTGAAATGGCGCTTTTCGCTCCGGGCGAGTTGTGAGGGCGCTTTTCTGCAATAGCAGCATGCATGTCGATAGACGTCATTTGGTTTTAATGGCCTACAGGAAATTTGGCGTTACAGCGCGAGATATTAGCAAGGGGAAAAGGACAGGAAAACCAGCCGCGTGACAAAAACTGCTTATAGGGATCTACGTATTCAACATCAGCATTTCTTTTATAGATTACTTTTATCAACAAGTTATACTGCGCTTTCCTCGATCGTCGTTGAAAGTGCAATTGACAGGAGAAGCGTGCCTCGCGTTAGTTGTTTGGGGAGCGAAAATTTATGCCTCGTTGAAAATGCCTGGGGAAATATTACATCAGACGAAATGACAATGATTAAAATCTGATTTTTTTTTCTCTCTCCCCCCATCTCCAAGTCTGTTGAGCGACGTGACACTGTTTGTGATACTCAACGGCACTGAACCGTTATCCCGCAGCGAACCGCAAGTTAAAAAACCGTTACCGGGGACTGATTTTTGCGGAAAAAAGAGCCACTAATGATTCAGGCTGGCGCTCAGATAATCGCAATTTCAGGGTAAAAGAAAAAGAGGAGAAACGCGGCGTTTTCATCTCGAAATTAGCTAGGGCGCGAGTAGGGTTGAGCTAATTGTAGCCTAATCCTTGCCCCAGAGGCATTTGGAAAGCCCGGAGCAAGAACTCTTTTTTAGCTCCCCTCTGTTATTTAGAGACGGATTATTGGCTTTCTTCTTCTCATAACAGAGCCGGCAGTTTCATTTTAGGAAAAAGAAGGACAAGACGGCAAAAAGGATCCCGCAGCCAGAGCAAGACCTCCTTCCGATCTGAAGTATACCGAGATAAAAAAGGGGGACGGAGAGCTTTCTCCTATGTACAAGGTAAGGAGGCGAAGGCGCTTTCCGCGGCGCTTTTGTGCGGACTGCCCGCTCCGAACTAGTTAAGGCGGACTAGGTACATGTCTTTAAAGCCACAGCGACCCTTTTTTTAAAAAAAACCCAACGCCTCGCTCACAGTTTCAGGGCTTTAAAAGCCACTTTGCGAATATTTTCTCTTAAAAAAGCTGTGCATGGCGGGCAGGAGACTGGCGGAATGTGGGAGCGGGGAATTGCACTTAGTTTGGCTGAACTTGGGGGAAAAGGAAGGGAAATCGCAGCTCGGCGACGGGGATAAACTGGCTGGATCTGGCTCGGGTTTCCTCGGACTTGGTAAAATGTTGGAAACGGTACGCCGGGCTCCGATAACACTCTCCGCATTATAAGCGGCAATGCCATTCTTAAAACATATATTTCAGTTGATTAACTGGGCACTTAATTTACTGGCTTCTTGTGTGCATTGTTATGCGAGCCAGTAGGGATGTTTCTTGCCCAGACATTTAACAGGCTGTGTCCGTAATAATGTAATAAAAACGGAAATTTCGGATCTGCCAGCTACCTTTTGATCTGTATTATTAACGTTATTATGTGGCGCTTTTTAGTTTTTACAATTTTCGCATCCATATAAGCATTTTCTGATTTCTCTTATGTGTAAAAGACGCCATGTTGTGTAATTGGCAGAATTTAGCCCTTGGCACTAATGTAATGTTCAAGAGGGCAAACGTATGGAAATCACGTATTACTGTTATAGCTCTTTATTTATTACCTGCATCGGTACTGTTACCGTCGCCGACTGCCTGTTAATATAAATGTTCGGGAAGTATCTTAAATAGAACAGCGCCAGTTGGTGTTTAAATTGAAAGCTGAAATATGTTGTAACACAGTTCAGACACATGTAAGACAGTAAATTACATTCAACCTAAAAAGTTACCTGCGTGGAGGTTTATATGTTAAAATCCGACTTTCTCATTTACTCTCTTCTTATGTACAAGTATCGTAATGTTTTAAAGTGCCAATTGTTTAAACATCGTAAAAGGTCCGGATTCTGATTTCAAGTGGATTTTTTCAATTCGTTTCTAGTTATTTTTGGTTATGTATTTTAAAAGCCGGATGTCACGATGGATGTTAAACGAGCAGAGAATAGTTAGAAAACGCAGTGGATGGGAAAGCGATGATCCAGTCCGGCAGTGAACAGATGTCGGGGCTGATCTCATTAAAGACGAGGCAATGGCCCTTTTCCAGTTCGTATGTTTATTTTGTCTACGGTCTCATGAGGACGTATAGTGGAGCTATGAAAAATTACGTAATAATAAACCCCAGTTCTGAATATGGACCGTTCATTTATGGGCTATTAATTTCTTTATTTCATTTGTACGTTATAGTTAAAGACGTAATGACTTGCACCATCTTTGTTTTTCAACCCCTGTATCCTTCTGTTTCAGCCCCTCTGGCTGTTCCTTTATTTTTATGTAACCTTTCACCTTTTAGGTCCTGTGTGTGTGTGTGTGTGTGTGTGTGTGTGTGTGTACAGGCCTGTAACTAGTATATTCCATCAACATTATTATCAGTATTAGTTACTATGGCCCTCGGCTATATGAAGAGGTGGGATAGCTTCATACGCCCAAGACTTTTTTGAATCTTTTGAAGTCTTTCTTTCTCTGGGATCTAAAATGTACTATCCAGAGTGTGTATTAAATGAACAGTATTCCTGAAGGCTCCTTGTGCAGTAGGCTACACCCTGGAAAATTCTGTCGTCTTTCAGCACTGTCTCCCCAGGGCATTTCTCCTGGGGCACAGCACCACGTGGAGCTGCACCAACAGCCTCCTGCTTAGCATTTATGGGTAAAACTACAGCTCGGCCAATCAGAAGCCCTTTCAGTGAAATCTCTCTCAAGCTGTAGTGATATGGCTCATTTAATTCGCCCAGCATAACTGATGTACCATTAATGAATTTTTTAAAAGAGTGAATTATCGTTACGTGGTCAGCATGGATCATGCGTGGTGTGTTTTTTAATCATGGAACATGTATGTTGAGCACCATGTCATGTATTGCCGGGAGCCTTATGAAATGGAAACTGTGCAGATTAATAACAAATCACTGGAGCAAATGCAGCAAAAAGTGAAGAGTTTACAAGGTACATAAATATTTTTTGCCTTGTTGACAACTTAAATTTTATATCCTGGTATCTTTTATATATTTAAATTTTTGTTTACTGAATTCTGGTAATAGACGTCACCATTTACAGGTACATCAACAGGGCTCATGTTGGGACCTGAACCAACAACCTCCAGGTTACGGAACTGGCTTTAACCATGGCACCACCTACTGGTAGATTGTTGCAAAGTATTGAATTTTCCTCCACTTTAATCAGAACTGTCACTCTGCATCACATAAGATTCTGTTTTATAGTAACCTTGATATGTCATACTTGACATGTCTGTAAACCAATAAAATAGTTCTCTGGCCTGTAGCACTGGGGACACTAACAAACACTAGAAGCCAGGCCAGGATCCATTGGTGAATGTTACATAGTTACTGTAGCACAACCAACAATAAATTGCCTCTCTGCTGCTGTACTGATGGTTATCAGTGGTGTTCATGTATTTGGACATTGTGGGTTTACAGGGAAATTTTCTTGTTATACAAAATAATGCATAAGCTGTTAATGACAAAAAGGTTTTTAAAAGGTTAGGTAAACACGTGGAGAGGGATTTTTGTTTTGGGAGTTATATAACTGAACTGCTTTGTTGCTTAAGCAATGGCATGGGGTTTTTTAATAACTAAAATTGTTTTGTGAAGTAAAATGATGATCTAACTGAAATGCTGACATGTCTCTAAGAACACAAAATCAGACTCGTCTAGAATGTGATCATTTCTGTGACTATATGAATTTGAAGGCTGGACATTGAAGAAGCAGGACAGGATGTTTATATCGATGCCTTTGAATTTGCTTAGGTGCCAGCGAAGACTTTTAAGAACACCTAACTGCAATTAAAATGGAAAAAGTGGATTCTTGAACTTTCGGTTAAAGAATAAATGATGAGATCGAAGCGGTCTCATTTTTGGCATGTTCGGCATGCACAGAAGACCGTCAGGCTTGGAAGAGTTGAAACCAGAAGAGGAAGTTGAATGGACTCGATCATCACTACAAAGCAGATTTCTTTGGGAGGCTGAAGACATGGACAGAAGATAAAGTCCTGAAAGAATAGTTACCAAAAGATGACATTGACTTGAACACTTTTTTTATAAATCTAGTCCAGTGTAAGATACTCGTTGCATCAGACCAGACACTCTGCAGCTTAGAATAACAATATTATACATATAATAATAAAAAACAATCTGCGATGCACATTTTCCTGTCATGTTATTCAGTCTTTATGTAAGAAGGAAAAAAAACTTAAGTACTACTACTTATTTATTTACTCAGCACAAGTTTTTGCTTTCAGCATTTTTATGACATTAATTAAAATTTTTACACTTTTACCCTGTTGTACAATGGGATATATTTCAGTGAAGCAATTTAACAGTACAGTGGTTAGCTTAGGGGTACAACATCTTGGGATTTAAGCGTGATATTTTGGTGTCAGTGTTGTATCACTCTGGCTAAACAAGGTCAAAGGTCATCTGTTTGTTGCTATTAAATATGCCACATGGTTTTTTTTTTAAGTTCACAGAATGGTTCACAACATGCTGTTTTTGGTGATTAGGGAGCCAGACTGATTGGCAATATATTGCTGGTTCCAATTGCAGGAGAAGCGAATCTGTTGCACCCCAGAGACCGACTATTTTACTGAGGATTACATCCATGAAAAAAAATGTTTAATTCAGTCTTGTGTGATTTCAGGTGGAGTTCGATCAAATCTGGGTGATATCACTGAAGCACTGAACTGTGAGCTGTTGATGTTGCAGTATTATATTTGAGCTTTATGTTTGCATCCACACCTGCCTCAAAAAGAGTCCCATTAGACCCTTTCGAAGCTATTTGCTTGTCCCCTGTACCTTTTCATTTATGCATTTTAGGTGAATGTCTTGAGTTAAATATGCAGACAGACAGGTGGATATTGGTTCACGATACCCCTGATCGCAGTGACAGCAGTGTCCTCCTTCTCCCCGGGGGCTGCCCCCCTCTCGTTTTGTAGGAAGGAAGAAGCATGTCGCGTCTGTCTCTGACCCGGTCCCCAGTGTCACCTCTGGCTGCGCAGGGAATCCCTCTCCCGGCTCAGCTGACCAAGGCAAATGCGCCGGTTCACATTGACGTGGGAGGACACATGTATACCAGCAGTTTGGCCACCCTCACCAAATATCCTGACTCCAGGTGAGGTTCTTGCTCGCTGGCACCTCTGCCTGCTCACCAAACGGCTGCTTAACCCTTGAAAATCTTCAGTGAAAATATGGAACAGTGACTTAATTGTGACAACATTGTACTATTTTATGATTTTGAAAACCATGTGTTTGTTTTGCTGTTTTTTGTGTCCCGCTGCATCAGTTGCTTTTACCTATTAAATATTGCTTAAAAAAAATCCATAAATAGAATAATTAGAATTTATCGTATTGAGTGATCAGTGGTATATTTGGTTGACATTAAAAAGAATGCTCTTTGCATGCTGGTAGAGATGCGTAGCGCATTTGTTGGGCAACTTTGTTGTCATCTTGCAGCTCCAGGGTTGCAAGTAGTGATGGGCAAAATGATACTTATGAACCATTTGATGTATTTTTTGACTCCACTAGATGGTGCTGTCTGTTCAAAAAAAGGCTCAAAGCATGCTCCAAAGCAAGCCAAGAGCACCATCTAGTGGGGTCAAAAAATACAGCAAATGGTTCATGAAGCTTCACTAGTTGCAAGGTACTAGTCCAGCCTCGGTATGTTGGGAGTTTGTCTGTCTATCCTGAGCATCTTTTTTGGCTGTGGCTGGTGGTACAGGGTGTTTGTGTGTGTGTGTGTGTGTGTGTGTGTGTGTGTACACATGTACCTCCTATTTCCTGGGAGGGGCTCTGGGTCACTGTGTCTCTCTGGGTAAAACCAGTCCATCACACGGTGTTCTCTATTTTGTCAGATAACAGTCATAAAGAGTGTTTTTATTTTTTGTCAGCCGTTTTTGTTCTCTCTTTAATTACAGCTTTGAAAATGGTCATTTAATGTCTGGTGTTAAAGCGCTGTTTCCGCAAAGCTGGCTTGATATTTGGCCATTTCTAAAATGTGTTTACCGGCACCAATTTAATAAGATGATAACTTTCAATTGCCTGTAGTCGAGTGAATCCAGAAACTGCTATACTGTGGGCATGGTTATTTCTATTACTGCTGGATAATATGAGACAAAGCATCAACTGTGCTTTGTGTAGAGAAACAGAAACATCAGTACCTGTGCATTATCACAGTTAGTCGTATTGTTTTACAACCACAGAAATAAGTACCATTGTTGTTTCAAAATTTAGCTTAAATCCATTTCTGATCGTGTTGTGTCGTAGGGTATACTGCAAAGTGTTTCACTCTTTGTTGCATCTAACAATTAGACATTTTGACATTTGGTTCAGCTTGGCCGAATACCAAGCGGGTATTGTATAATATTGGCTTACGATTATCGGTCTGCTCCATTTCATCTCGTCATTTTCCATTTCAAAAGAGGCCAGTTGTATAGTTACAAACCCCAGTGACAGAGGGCAGGAGGTGGAAGTGTCTGGTTCTGTGCTACATGTGACGAGCTTTGCAATGAGACGGATTAAAATCCCAAAAGCAGCTGATATCTTGCTTACTGTGAAGTTAAAAGCTTGGAGGTTTAAACAAACTCGGGAATGTTGAAAATGAGTGCTGCACAATTATTCCCCCCCCCCCTGCTGTGCAGTATTTACATGCATAACTTTTCTATTAAGCCTTGTTTCTGTCGTGTATACATTATGATTATCTTGTGCAACATAGCTTCTTGTGCCATGTTTTTCCCCAAACTACAAAAAATTGCCTTCAGATTAATGTCACATCCCCCCCCCCCCAAATATGGAAAGGAGTGTGACAAAGTCCTTTAGAACATGGTCACACAAACTCGGCATGGTGTCAAAATTCAGTTTAAGTAGTGGTTCTGAGAGTAAAGAACTTTAATTCAGTGATTTCTTTTAATAGATTGCTCGTTTAATTATGCAGAATGCGAAAGGAAACTTAGTGTAGTAACTAATGTGTGGGCATTCATCTTCCCTGGAACAGGCCATGTCTGGGGACAGGAGTAATGAATCTTTGATGTGAGGTCACTGTGGTCCCTTCTTTACCACTGCCTGCTCGTTGTTCCCCAAAGCAGAAGTTCGCGTACAAGGAAGATCCAAGTCCCGGAAAGGGAACAGATCTGCCCAGTTTGCGCACACTTGTGTTTGCCTAGCTAATGTGCTAAGCTTAAGTGACTATTAGCACGCACGATATTTTAATGCCCCGGTGTAAGAACATGTGCTGGCCAGTCTCAGAACCCTGCCTCATCCAGTGCCCCCACCCCCCCAAACCCGTGCCCCAGGGCCGGCACCCGTCCAGGGCCTGGTGCCGCATGTACCGACCCACGTTCCGTCTCCTGAAAACCTGACACCGGGGAGATAAACGGAATCATGGAAACACCTGTTTGACAGGCAGAGAGATGGAGAACTGGGACATGGGTGGGAGTGTGGGATACCATGCCAGGCACTGGGGAACCTGTGGCTTCCAAGGCTGAACCGAAAAGAGAGAGAGAGAGAGAGCAGAAGGAAAAAAGAGATGGAGCAGTCAGGGAAGGAGAGGGAAGAAAAACAGGCAGCATTTTAATTGCTTTAAAAAAAAAAAAAGGGAGGGAGGGGGTTGGGGGGGCGAGATGAAAAACAGAGAATGCCCCGAGCGGTATGGTGAAATTCTAGCTGGAAGAATTGCAAGACCATATGAGAAAGGAGCTCCTCAGGCATATCAGTGAGATGAGTATTGGTTTTTTTATAAAGCGTTTTGCATCGATTTCCAGAAAGGGGGGGAGAGAGAGAGAGAGAGACAGAGTTAGAAAAGAATGAAAAGGCTGGGATCTATTCACCGGCTCACATGGTGCAGGTCGTTTGGTCGCACAGAGGTGGATCGTGTCAAGCAAACCTGATTCCATGTTTAGGGATTTTATCCGCACCGGGAGAGGTTCTGAGGTCGGGTGGATTCCTGGTGTTAATGGGACAAATACAGCTGTGGGTGTCTCTGAGATTTAATTGGGGGCAGTACCCACAAGCAGATGCCCTGGTGCCACCCGCTGCGTTCGCGGTATGAACTTAACGCGCCAGCGCAGCCGTGTCAACAAATCCCCTTTGTAGCTACAGCCGTTTCTGGAAGCGCACAAACTTCAGGGGGAACTTAATTAAACACACCTAGACTTCCCCAGTGCGTTACTCTCGCGGTACCGGTGGGGCCCCTCATGCCGCCTCATAAACGGCCAAAGAAACATCTGTCCTGCTGTACGCTCACTTGCGTTAATTCGTCTCGTATCACCGAGACGCACTGCGTTAAATCATCTAAGTACTGTGTTCGTTTTGGCTTTTCTGTTCGGATCAAGAAGATGGCCTAATCGCTTTTATGAACAATGTGCGTAGCGGCGTGTGTCTGTTGCAACACATGTCCGCTGTCATACTCACAGGCTACGTTTCGTTACCAAAAAAAAAACGCAGATACTCAAAAATTTGTAATCTTGGTGCTTGCCAGCATTTCTAAATCGACCGGTATTTTATAGCGATTTATTATGTGCAACCAGTACTGACTGTTTGTCAGTGATTTTTTTTTTTTTAAATCTTAATATTCGGTGTAAATACATTTTAATTACTAATGCAGAGCTGTTGTCACATTACTGCTGTTGCCTTGCATTTTCATCTAGTGCAATTGTGATGTTCGGCATATTTGTTTGTTTTTTTAGGAAAATGCTTTACTCTAAAGCCAAATTGGAGAAAGTGTAGATTTTTAAGTATAAGACAAAAGAAGAGGAGAAATTGAAGTTCGTTCATAAATATTTAATCCAATGAACCTCAAGTTTTCCCCATCGTTGCTTGTCCTTGGTCCCAACAATCCTTTACCCTTCGGTTATGAACAAACCGCGTAGGCCACGTTGTGGTGCGTCCTTCCCACGTGGAGAAGTGCTGTGGTTGAGTGTGCCAGCTGGGGCAGATCGCTGTAGCTCGATGTCACTTGACCATGCTTTCTGTAGGTTCACTCAGGTGCCCCATGGAAAGTTCTCCGCAAGCTTTGGCTTGGCTTCCTCCTTGCCGCCTTGCCATACCGCGATGGAGCTGTGGATGTTGACAGCTGACAGACATTCTTTCATCTCAGTCGCTGAACTTTAGCTTGTTCAAAGTTTTTTTTTTTATTCCTCACCTCGAATTTTCACCCATAGTAGCCCCCCTGCCCTCCCTGCCCGGCTGTTCGGTTTGGGGTGGGGGTGGGGGGGGACGACGACACACAATGCACTTTCCATTTCTCCGTGATTGACCAGACTGTGCTTACAGGGATATTTGGATTCTTTGATATTTTTTGTTCCCTTCTCCTGATCTTGGCTTTTCACCGACTTACAGTAATTCCCGACTGGCTTTGAAACTACCTTCACTCTTCATGGTTGAGACCTTGCTTGAAATTCACAGTATGACCAAGAAACCTCAAAGGGAGAGGTTCTTAAATTCTTGAATTATGAGAAACGCCATTATTTGCGCATAGACAGAGGCCACTCAGCTAATTGGGTGATTTTTTAAGGTAATTTAGCTTTGCCATGGGATATGTGCTACTTGTTCGCTCGCAGTCCTCGTTCTTTTGTCTTCTTTTCTTCTCTTTAAACAATTCTTCGAATTTCTCATCTGAAACGGCCATTTATACCGTTTCTCAGCGCACGACTTCAGGAGGCTCAGACACGCAGATCTCAATGTGTGTGTCCTCAGTCACACCCAGTACAACACAGAGCCCAGTAACATGTATGGTGGGGAAGACTGTCGAGTCATGTGACCAGAATCCACACCGCATTCTGTAACAGCCAGCAAACGTGAATGTTCTGTTTTTTATCCCTTTTTTTTCTTTAATTCTAATAACTGTTGATTTTTTTTTCCCTTTCAGCTTGTGTTGAGTAAGTTTCATACTTCTGAACACTGTTGTGTAAATCGGTTGACATAGAAAATGTGACTTGGTGGGTCTGGCTATCAGCGTGCTATGGCACTAGACTTAAATTCGATTTTTCAGTATTTTACATTTTCATCAAGGAAAAAGTGTACTGCACGCAGGTGAATTTCGTAAGCTGTTGTGTTGTTAATTAGCTTTGTTTTGGCCTTATTAAATTGACAAATGGCACATTACCCTTAAATGACAGCAGTATGATGCAGCTCCAAAAAAATATCACAAAGTAATTTATGACATCCTGCCAAAGGGTTTGATTTGAATTGCTAAGAGGACGGTTTGAACAAGTACTAGAATATAAGAAAAATGCCAGCAGCACGTAGGCTGGTTATTCAGTGTACTTGAAGGAGACCTTCTTTGGGTTGCTTTCACAGAATCAGCCGCTTGTTTAACGGGACGGAGCCCATCGTGCTGGACAGTCTGAAGCAGCATTACTTCATCGACCGGGACGGCGAGATATTTCGCTACATCCTCAGCTTCCTGAGAACCTGCCGACTGCTCCTTCCGGACGACTTCAAGGTAAAATGGCTTGTGCTCTAATCTGGTGAGAAACGTACGTTTTGGACACTAGCTCTGGCTTTCAAGTCACGGTTGAGGTGAAGCTTCAGAACATTCGATGGTGAAGTTGAACTCCCCATAACATTTTCTGACAGTTTGCGACATCTGTAACGTCAGAGATGAAGGTAGTATAGTGTTGTACCTGTAATTAAACCTTTGGTCACCTATAGACTTAAAACGGGAGGTTTGGAGGTTATCTAAGAAGTGGCGTGTTGCTCTAAACCAGCAGTTTAACTGGTGGTGTGAGTATATTTTGTTTGCAGGCTGTCACTGGATTTGTTTACAAGAACAATTTTGCTTTTATTCCAGTCCTGTGTTAAATCTAGTGTGGTTTTATGGCAAGAATGCAAATACAGCTGAGACTGATAACGTCTGTGGCACCAGAGCACAGAACTTGCCCCGCAATGTTTATTTATACTTATAGAGCTTGTAGAACAGGCATTTGTTTATATGAGTGCCAAATGGGAGCCCAGTGCTGGTATCGAGACCCGGTTATGGAATCTGCTCCATGACGAGGTTACCCTGTTCATCGGAGCTGGCGGATTATTAACGCAGTCACTGTTCACTAGAGAGGTTCAGGAGTGTGGGGGGAGAGGATGCTATATTAAAATAGCAATGGGACATCACTTTTGTTAACAAATGGCTAGTATTTACAAAAATAAGAATACAACCCAAGGAGAAATTCCTTTCCCTTAAGTCTAATTCAGCATCTGCATGTTTGGTATCTAAACATTTTCAGCCTTTTAACTTTGTGCCTCAGATGGGATATATTGTCTTGCGTAAAACTGGATGTTTTTTTACATTTTCCCAGTTGATGAAAGGTCCAGATGAGTCGCTTTTAACCTGCCTTGTTTTATTCTGCTTTGCTCACAAACAGTAATTACACCAAAAGTGGCCTGTGTTACAACGTTAGCTCGCTGTGGTACGGGCCATCTGAAGGAGACGTCTTCTTTGGGCTCTGGAGAAGGCAGAGAGAGGGAGGCTTTCAGCTGGAGGCTTTTACGGAGCGAGTCTTTCAGGTTTCAGAGGCTACGTCTCTCTGGACCTCCCTGTCAGTGCCTCCCATGCACACACTGGCTGCTTGTTAGTAAGATGGAGGCCTATGGAGCTGCAGGTCTGGGTTCGGTGTTTCACTGGGTGACTGGGAGAGGTGTGGGGAGTGACTGGGTTCGGTGTCACCTGTCATGCGGCCTGCAAGCCCCTCAAAAATTCCATTGGCCTTATTTAGTAGACACCTTTGTCCAAAGTGAAATGCAGTTGAGAAGGCAGGGGCAGCCAATTGCTGAAGCATTTGAGGGTTAAGGGCCTTACTTAAGGGCCCAGCGATGACATCACTCTGCAGACGACAGGATTTGAAGCAGCAGCCTTGTAATGACAGACATGGCGTCCTATAGCCTGCTGAGCCACGTTCCGCCCCTGAGTTTCTTGACTGTATCTGCCTGCTTTTGCCATTTCTCTTCCCTAGCTAACAGGACAGGAGTAATCTTGGAGCTGAGTGGATTAAAACAGGCAAGCGGGATTTCCCTGGGAATTACCCAGCCCGCTCCTTGTCTTTGGGAGGGACGGAAACTCTACACCTCCTGCAGCAGTGGCTGTTTCACACAATGCATGTGGGTCTAGTGATTTTTCAGAGTGCCTCGTGGGCTGACAGTAACACCCTCAGCCCCCCCCCGCCCCCCACTGCCCTTCCCCTGCTGTTACAGCAAATATCCTATTAATGTAAACGGAGGCCGTCTTCATTTGCCACAAGGGGTGCCATTTTCTCACGGCAGGGGCCTGTATTTGCGGGGCCTGTGACAGCCACCCGTTCTCCGGCTCATCATGCCGCCAACGCCGCTCGTTATCGTAGCTTCCCTCACGTTAGCCTAGCCCTCTTCGCGTTAGCTTAGCCTCCCTTGCAATCGGCTCAGCTTCGCTCACATTGGCTTAAGTGCCATCAAGTTAGCTTAGCCTCGCGTTCGCGTGCGCCCTCATGTGAGGCTTGCCAGGTCCAGCGGGGCAGGAAGGCTTTAGCCGGGGTCCAGGGAGGGCATAAAAGGTTTTGTGATGGGTTAGGGTCCACATGGTTTTCCCGTTTTCACAGTGTTTTAGGATTTAACGTTTTATTTGTCACATACCCAAACATGCACTGTACCTGGCTCAATGGACTGTACTCAAAAAGAACAGAGTGGGGGAAGTTACTCACAAAACGAATCCATTACAGACAGTCCAGGTCCAGAAAGTACAAATCCAGGCCAAGGTTTTGTTTCAACCAACCAGTTTAGTATTAAGAGTCACAATTACAAAGTACCCAACTTCCCCAATACTGAAAAAGAAATATGCGGTACAAAAAAAATATGTATAAAAATATATATATATAAATAAATAATAAAAAGATGAAACAATAAAATAATAACATATAAACGGCAAAGCAATAATAATGTTAATAGTGTTCGGCCTTTCGGTTTGTTGCTGGCTGGTCATTTACAGCTGCTAAACTTCTACAGGTGGGGAGGTGAATATTCATGGATGCCCAGGGTCCCCCGGGGGCTGAAAGACCCCACACTAACAGCCTCGATTTCCTCCCATCTGATGGAGCACGGTAGCTGGCTGCCCATGTGGTGACGCCGGAGTCACTAGCGGCCTGCAGGCCGTCTCTTGGCACCGGGGCGTGTGGGAGACGCCCGGCAGGTGGCCTGGGCTGAGGCCGGTTCTCGCGAATCGCTGAACCCGGCTGCGCGAGTCTGGATTATGCAAATTCCGCCTACTGGAAGGGTTTGGCTAACGAAGTTGCTGGTGTGGTTAATAAAGCCACCTCAAGTAGTAATCATTTCTAACGACAGTAGGAGATTCCATTACTAAATTAAAAGGAATGTTCTACTTGGTATTTCACTACAGTAAATAGAACCAATATATAAATAAGAACATTTTGGCAAACTGTCATTACCTACTGTCATTTTTATGCATAATTTTTATATGACAGCCTGCTGCAACTTAGATTAATTTTAGGGATGCAATAATTATCGCATTAAGCTTTGTCTTTTATAAGTGGGGCTTAATTTTATGGTGGATCATAATACATGAATGTTGTGAGGATCTATCCAAAATATGGTGAAGAATGGCCCTGGAACCTGGCAGAAGATCGTGATGGTCCTTTGTTCGTTAGATACCCTGTTTGATACCTATTGTTAGGCAGATACCCTGTTTGATACCTATTGTTAGGCAGATACCCTGTTTGATACCTATTGGTAGGCAGATGCCCTGTTTGATACCTA